TATTTTCATTTAAAGAAATTATATTTATCTCACTTTTAGCAAATGGATATATTTCTGTCTTTCTCTAATTTCTGATTCTGGAATAATTATTTTTCGCCTAATGACCTAATTAATTAGCCGTTTTTTGTTTTAAACATAACCTTAATTTAAATTATTATAATTTGTAAACAATTAAAATAATTCTAGTGGATTTTTATCTATTCTCTTTTATTCCACGTGGTTTTTCTCTGTGAAGTGAATATGGTCTTTTGAGTGTAGTTTTCTGATTGGTTGATCTGGTTAATACGCAGTTAAGTGTAAGAAAAAAACACAGGATTGTTTTCCTATAGGGTTTGGTTTCTGAAACGTTCTCTTTTTCTGGCAGTGCTCTAGCAGGCGAGTCATTTTTATATTTATAATTTTTCCTTTACATTTTTAGATTCTCCCTTATAAATTTTTCAATATATTTTGCCATTAGTGCATATTATCATATCATTGCTAAGTTTTTACCTGATAAATCTTATCTTATCTATTTTCGAAATATAAATATTATATTTTAATTTTTTATTTAATTGTGGGCCTCCATGTTGTGTGATTGCCGGTGGTTCCACGTTTTTCCGAGGTAAGTCAATTCAAATTTTTGGGCTAATAAATAGGTACTGCTGCTTTGGTTTTCAAAATCAATTGTTAGTGTGGGGTTATTGGACCATCTAAATAGAGTCGGTGAAAACCAAATTTGTGTGTCCATCCCTATCAACTCCTTATTTAATCCAGGCAGAGGCCTATACATATAGCCATTTTCTGTTTGATTCCGTCAATTATTACCTTCCCAAGAAGGAAGGTGTTGAAAAGGGTGTAATTCTTTAAAATAGAAATCCAGACAGGTCAAAAATTCATTTAAAAAGTTTTAACCAAAACATCTCAAGAATTTTGACTTATTCTGGATTTGATTGATTTCACCCTCAGGTTTGTCTTGTAGTGCCTGTAGTGGCTACCTTAACTTAAAAGGAAAATTTTGTCTATTTGGGGGAGAATCTAGATATTTAATTTCTTATTTTTTTTAATTTGATTTTGTTCTTATTCTTGTCTGTTATTGCTGCTGCCAGCACACTGCTCAAGTTGTAACGAGCATTTTAATTTAATCTTGCTGTTATTATCTATTTTTATGATTATTTTTCAATTATTTAATTGTATTTTTTTTAGTAAAATATTTCTCCAATTTACAATAGTCGCTCATACTTACCTGATTCTGTAGGAAAGAAGTGTCTGCACAACAATAGTTTTATATTTTATTTTTGATAGAATTCGGGGATTTAATATTCCAAATCTTGGTGAAACTGATAGTGCCTTATTCTTTTCTGGGTACCTACTCGACATAAAGATCACTGTTTGGAGTCTGGATCAGCTGGAGTGACGTCACCCCAGCAATCTATCCTCTTTCCTGGATACAGGAAACAACCCGAAGAGCTCCAGTTCACATAAGTGAAACCTCAACATCCATTGAAGAGCTCCGGATTGGAAAGGTACATTGTATCAGATTCACCGGAACAACCAAGCTGTCAATTATCAAATTTTAGAGAAAGTAACATTAACTGTTACTATATTGTAAACAAAATAAAATTATTGTTTGTTGGATTTTGAGTGGTTTCATTTGCACATAAAGGGGCTACACGTTATCTTAATTTTTTGAATTCCACGACGAAGTACTTTGCTCGACTCAAAAGAAGATGAAAGAATAATTACGAGGGAAAAAGTGAAATGGGCAGTAAAAACCTACCACCCCTACAAGTACGCACGACAGGATGGGGTAATGCTACAAAAATCCCTGGAATGCATTCTAAAAATATTTACTGATTGTTTAACACAAGGGCATGCACCAGCAAGATGGAGGGAAGTAAAGGTCAACTTTATACCTAAAACGGGTAAATCAGTCATCTCTACCGCAAAAGACTATAGCCCAAATAGTTTATCATTATTCTTGTTCAAGACTCTAGAGAAGCTGATTGATCTACACATTAGAGAATTACAAGGAAAAAACACGTAATGTCCAGACTAACATGCATAACTATAACGTACTTATTTTGGCAATTGCCTAATTATACTGCATACGGCTAGTCAGCATCAGTTCGGCGGCCATGGGTCTATGGGTTCCTTGTATACATCTTACCTTTGGGCGCCACCAAGTTAATTGTGACTTAACTAGGAAGATAACCTAATGATGTTTAAACAAAACCTGTGCAATTGGAGAGCTTATCAATAAAACAACTAATTAGGTACAATAATGTATCTGGCTTCTTTATTAAAAAATAATAACAATAATGAATAGGGATAGCCAGGACATCATTATGGCTTGTACCAATTTATAAATATTTGATTATAAAAAAATTAATGTAAATAACGCATATATAAAAATCAATTTTAAGTGAACATGACTAAAAACCTTTTGGTATTTACACTTGTGAGTGATAAGAAAAATACAGTATGGGTTACACTTTACCAACAGGCAAATTAAACACAGAAAGATGAAAGTTATTGTTAGGGCAACCTCAGGGTAAAATTCTAGAATTTTATTTAAGGGGCACTTACTGAAACTAATTCATATTGTTAGGGCAACCTCAGGGTAAAATTCTAGAATTTTATTTAAGGGGCACTTACCGAATGTAAATCAGTATCAAGTGATTTATATAAGATTTGCCTAAATAGTAAAAAGTGCAACTTACATGTGTACAAATGTTGATTATCTTCAAAGGTGTGTGTAAATCCAGAAGTTTTGAAGGGATATTATCTACAGGTTCGGTCTCACTGTAGATAGACTATGGTATGGTAAGTGAGTCATAGTCATATCCACGTTGTATCTGTTTAACGTAGAACTCGATGTGGTTCTGCCAGAGTGATACCAAGAGAGTTGCTGGAGAAAGGCTACCAAAGCCCCAACTGAGAGCAATCTAGATCCAGTCTAGAATCTCTCTAAATACAGCCCAGCAACTGTCCAACTATAGCCCAAGACTGTCTAGCTACAGCCTAGCACTAGGATTGTCCAACTATAGCCTAAGAGTAGGATTGTCCAACTATAGCCTGAGACTAGGATTGTCCAACTATAGCCTGAGAGTAGGATTGTCCAACTATAGCCTGAGACTAGGATTGTCCAACTATAGCCTGATACTAGGACCCTCAAATTGAGGGATACTCTAGACCAAAGGTGAAGTCTTAAACTTCCAAATGCTGCTCGGAACAGTCCGAAACAGAATCCAAAAATGACCAAGGGACGACTCTAGACAATTATCAGCAAGAAATTAGTCTAAAACTTGAGCTCCCTGGCACAAAATTCCAAAAAGTCTCGCCCCAAAAATAATTAGGGCCGAGGCCCGAGACCGGACGACTACTCAGCGTGAGGTCGCAGACCAAAAGGGCAGATTCTTCATTTAGAATTTAGATTTCGGAAGAAGACTTTCATCTGTCAAACTTCTAATTTTGACATTGAAGAAAATTATAGAAAAGGACGTGTTCAGTTTCACCCCAAAAGTACGAACTGAGATTCGGTTGTGTAAAAAATGACTGGTGAATGTTGACAAGTGCCTATAGAACATATATCAAAAGGTAGAACAGGTCTAAAGAAAACGCCTAGACAAAACAGCTGTTCAATGACATGATGGAAATGAAAAGTCAAAGAGTACAAAAAAACAACAATTATTATCATAACCTCAGATTATTGATTGGATTTGCAAACAGAGATGGTGATGGTACTACCTCCTTTTCCTAAGATTCTAATCAATAACAGCGGGCCCTGCCGTACTGAATCAAACCTTCCCAGATCAATTAACCAAACTTGCAAACCTGAACCAAAAAAACTTCTAGTAGCTCTATATGGAATCATATCTACTAAAGCAAAACAAGGTAGCTTATTAGCCAAGAAATTGAAAACGTTACATACCTAAAAGGAAGGTCATTTGAAAGTCCACTGCATGAAGTAGTTGGAACAATTGAAAGATCTCTTGAGAATAGGGAATACATACTAGGTGTATTTCTATAGAGGGGGCATTAAATAATGTAATGACCGAGTCTATTGAAAAATCCATGGAGCAGCTGAACGTAGAACCAGTCATCATACAATGCATATTGAAAAGCAAAATACCTAATTGATTCAGAAATTGGTGACTCTACCATAAGGAAAAAAACAACCGGATGGACTCTATAAGAAGGAGTGATATCTCCACTCTTCTGGCTGATGGTAATCAATATGAAATGAAAACAGTTTTTTTCAAGCATTCCGTAACGAAATAAGCAATTTGTTCCTGTGACTTCTTAGCAGTAGCAACACCATATTGGTAGGTACCTATTTGTGAATAAAAATTATTTTTGTATTGAAACTACATGTGGAATTTGTTGATATTTGATGTATGTGTCCATAAAAGACTAATAATTGTGAAAATATTTTCGTAGTTTAATGCATAGAAATTGGTCCTTTATACATATGTTTTTTCTCAGCAATTTAATTTATTTTTTATCAAAACGGTATTTGTCAATAAATTGACCGATCCCAGGATTTTTATTGGAATTTTAAAATTAATATTTACAATAGCTTGATGCTGCATATTGGAAAAATAAGTGAGACGCCGGCATATTGTAAAAGTATCCTTGTAAAATTCAATTTTGCGAGTGCAAATTACCTAAATACCTAAACCTGGAATGAGTTCAAACTTTACCCTCATTTCTAGCTTTTGAGTAGGTAGCAGATCGTTTTTACTTATTATCTAAATATTATATTACTTTTAAGATGAAATCATTAAAAAAATCGGAACAATAAATTACCTGAAAATTATAAATTAAAAACACTAAAGCGTTTACAGAAAAAAGGACTATTTCAACAAGACATATTGAACAACGCCGTCTATGGATAAAAGCTTGTAACAAAGGGTCTCAAATCTAGTTTATTACGACAGGTGCGATTCACAACAGCGACAAATTAGGGCCATTCAGATAAAAGGAGCCAAATATTATTCGGAAATGAATAAAAGTCAAAATCATTATTGAACAATTATAATAAATAAATAAATACACATATAGAAATAGTTTCGAACATTACAAAAATTACACAATAACTAATTATTATAAGTTTTGTTAAGACAACACAAAGGAACAATGATTTCTTTTCATGGGAACAGCAAAATTGTCCATAAAGTACCCTAAAGTATTACCTATTATAATTATAAGGAATACTAAGTTGAGAAAAGACGTGAATAGGACCTCTCCAATTTGAATTATGTGGCTTTTGGTGACTGCTGACTTGAGAATAGGAGTCATCGATGCGGCTATTCTGAAATAGAAAAAAATATAATTATTATATTTCATAAGTTTCTGAAAGAAATTTGATCTTATTACAATCGTATTGAAAAGTGTACAGAGTGCGGGAACAAAGAGTACCTATATTCTATATTTTTAAGTATAGCTTTGACGCAGGATCAAATAACAAGGTTTCGTAAAAAAATCATAAAAATCTCATTTGGTGGTGACAGTCGCAGTAATGAAGGATATTTGACATTGTCATTTTTTTTATATCTATACAATATCTGATGAACACGATGTTTGGAAAAAAATCGGATAGATATTATCTATTAAAATATTTATTCAAATTAAAAAAAAAAATATTTTCAATTTTCTTGTCGGCAGTGACGGATACAGTGGGGGGCAGGGGGCATACAGCCTTTATCTCTGGTAAGATGAAAGGTGTAAATACAAAAGTTGTACAGTATTGGCTAAATTTTTAAAATCCATGGTCACAAACAAAAATTGAATGTCAGAAATGTGAAATATTGCATGCTTTCAGCTTTTTTCAAATGGGATGCGCTATATTTGGTTCTATATTCTTGAAGAACACAATTTCCCGATTCCAAAACTATATAGTTTGTCTATATTTGGTTGAGCCCTCTCCAACATATTTGGTTCTAAAAACTTTAATACTATCAGAGAAACCAAGTAGGTACCTCAAATTTTACCTGCAGCTTTCACCTGTACAGGTAGAATGGTTCACAAAATCAGCAGTAGGATAGTATTTTTACAATTTTTGGAGCCAAATATATGAGAGATTGCTCAATCAAAATAGATCGGGGCATTGTGCTCTTCAAGAATATAGAATGAAATAGGGCATCCCATTTGGAAAAAGCTGGAAGCATGCAAAATTTCACATTTCTGACATTCAAATTTTGTTACTGACCATGGTTTTCGAAAATTCAGCCAAAACTGTACAACTTTTGTATTTACATCTTTGTTTTATCTGTGAAGGTAAAGGCTGTAGGTGGGGTGTCAATATATAAAAAAACACCCTGTACAAATAAATGGATTATTGAGAAACTTATGTGTGGACCTCTGCGGGACGAGCGCAGCGAGTTCCGCAGCCATCTACTCACCAATATACTGTTAAACTGTTCAAATAAGACAATCACCTGAAACGTGTAGTTTTTGAACTAATGAGAATAACTCACATTTGAGTGAGTCAGGTAAGTATAAGTATATTGTTGCGGAACTTCTGGGTGGACCTCTGCGGGACGAGCGCAGCGAGTTCCGCAGCCATCTAATCACCAATATACTGTTGAACGGTTTAAGTAAGACCTGAAACGAATAATTTTTAAACTAATGAGAATAACGCACATTAATTGAGTGTGCAGTCAGTTTAGTATCGTGATTAAACAACATATTGATGAATAGATAGCTGCGGAACTCGCTGCGCTCGTCCCGCAGAGGTCCAACCATAAGTTCCGCAACAATTTAAAATCACCTTATTCTCCTAAATAGTTTCCCCATTCCCATATTTTTATGGGCCATTCCTTCGAAAAACCATATCTTGCACAATGCGCTGCCAAAACTAACCCAAACTAACCCAATCTGGCTTACTTTAACCTAAACTGCCCTCCCCTCTTCAAAAGGCCTGTATCCGCCCCTGTTTGTCGGCTGTCATATTGACTTGATTGGCCGATTTATCAGTGGACGGTTATTCAGTTTAGCTGTCAGTTGTCAGTTAACTAATAATTATCCTTAGTTAACCGACAGCTAAACTAGATTACGGTCCTTTTGATAAACCGGTCCTGAATAAATTATTAAGCGCCAGTTTATTCATCTTCTATTGAAAAAAATCAGTCTTTGGTCAATATCTCAAAATCGGCGCCAAATAGAAAAAAAACTGAGAACGTCACTGAATTCTGCTTAAAAAAGTGCTTCGAGAAAGTTTTTACGGAAATCAATTATTTTCATAAACAAAAAAGTTATGAAGGTTTTACAATATTGCTCAAAATCGAGAATCGTCCTGTAGCGGCTAAACGGTTGAAGATATCAAAATGCGGTTTACACCAATCAAAATTTCATGAAATTTGAGCCTCAGAGTGGTGGGTTCATTTTTCTCTATCTCTAAAAAGAAAGGGTGTTTCCATAAGAAAGTGTCCAAATTGGCCCACCCGTACAAGGCTAATAAATCAAGTAAAGCAAATTCATTTTATTGATTGATGTAGCCAAGTTGCTTGAAAGCTACTCGATACGTAGAAAGTATACATGGACATATTTTACCTCCGAAATTACAAATAAATATTTATCTATTTTACTTTGTTCGTGGATCAACAAGGCATACTATACCTTTAGGCTTAAGCATGAAAAATGAATAATAAAAGGAGGGATGGAGGGAAATTCTGGAAAATTTCTAGTGGAATATTAATTTTTTATAGTTTATAACGCACTTCTTTGAAATATAATTTGAAAAAAGAGTAATTTAAATAGAAATTATCATGACAACAGAGAAAAATGATTTAGCAACTATTATTCGTACATACATAGCAAGAAAGTGACTATCCACTCATACGAGAAAAATATTGTTATACCATATTCATGGATTATTAAAAATAGCTACTGACAAAGCAGATTTGTATCAAAAATCTCTGTGAAAAAAATAACTTACAAGTAACAGTGCTTAATCCAGTGGTGTAGGATAGGGAGCACTTGTACCTCAACTTTCATTATAATTTTTCTTCGATTTCAGAATTTAAAAGCACAATTTCATATATGTAGCTTTAAACTGTTCTATACTTATTCGTAAATAATAATTTTCAATATTAAGATAGCCTGCGGAAAATAAACCTCTTTTATAACTAATAATAATTTAGGCTTGAAAACACGAGTTTTATTATAATGATTTCAAATCTGCACTTGGAACTTATTTACTGAAACTAAATGAATGTTTACCGATTACAAAAATGTTAATTTTCTGGAATTAATAATTTGACCATATTAAAAAATAATTATTAAACGCGATAATTTATTTTTTACTATTTAAATAATTGACTTTCCCATAATTATTTATTTTTCGATTATAGATGTAAAATAGTTAATTAGAAAAAATATGAAAAACCTGAATTAAATTTGGAAGGAAATTACTGTGGGTTTTATACTCATTCAAGTATTAAAATTGAATAGATACCTATTAACAGCTCGAAAATTTTGAAAACAGTTATGAACAAAAAGTATCGCGCCATGCTTATTCTCAAGAGTTTTAGGAACCATAACAATTACCTAAATATAGAAAGGGAAAATTTAAACTTTCATTTATTCATAAAGCCTATAGATATTTGATCAATGTCGATATGTATTATGATAATTTATCAAAATTCTTCTCTGGAAATTATATGTTGTTTACCGATTAATTATATTGCTATGCAGTGCTGCTAAAACAACTTTGCACTAATTTAAGTACCAACGAATCATAATTTGAAACTACGGATATTTCTGCATGAATTTTCAACGAAAAATCAAATAGATATAGCCTAATGTTTAGGATAGATAAATATGGATACTCTAACAAATCAGTTGACTTGCGTTTTCGAAAAAATCGCATGGACTTGTAAATTTTGTGGTGTTAGTGGGATTTGTTTGGATGTGTTAGTGCAAAAAAATCTAAGAAAAAGTATTTAAACCGCATCTTGCTACGATGAACCGTTTTCAAGTTGGGGCGGTTTAAAGTTACGAATGCCTAAATTGTGACGTCACACCGGCTTCGGAGGCACAGTATCAACACGTTTAAGAATCTGCAACAGGACTTCTTGATTTCGAGGGTTTCAACATAAATCAAATAAAAAATAAAGTAATAGGTACACAAGTCATGTGAAAACCAAAATAGAAAATCACTGTTCCTTATAGATCATCCTACACCTAAGGAAATCACAATGTTTTGATATTTTAAATAAGAGTCTAAGAAATCATTAGCCCTTTTCACGTGGATCCGGTTTAAGAAACCGAAACATACCGCTCAAATTCGAGTGGTATCGATGACGTCACTTTATAACCGGGTTAGAAAACGTATGTCATTTCTCTAACTAGCTCTTCGATATGGTTACGTTTAACGGTTAGAACAAAAAAAAATAGAAAATTTAACCGAATTTTCACTACGAATGTAGTTCATCCAAGGACGGACCATAGTTCGTCTTGTGACGTCATGAGTTTGAACGCTGGCTAAAAGCTGCTTCTATGCTTCCGTCGAACTACCTTCAATATGACGTCATGAGTTTCTCGCCAAAACGTTTGTGTTCATGAAATCATGGAAGTAGTTCGTCGCGGAAATTCGGTTTTTGGAAACAACAGAGAGCGGGAAAATTGTGACAGGTAAGTATAAACTTAAATAAAATCCTGTGTTTTGGTAATATTATTTTACAGTATCGACCTACCTAATCAATTGACAAACATGGGAGCAATTGAAGTTGAAATAACGAATAGGGACTTTTTTTTTCAAGATACACGTGAAATTTTGGTGCAGTTACTAGAAGGTTTATCAACCTATCATAAATATTGACAGGTCATTGGATTGCCTAATTTAAAATAACATTTTTCTAACTGTTTGTTTTCAAGTGGCATTTTCAATGATGTCATCACTTGACATACCGCTACTAACCGTTTTGTAAAGCCGGCTACACACGGTCCGGCAGGCCTGTCAGTTGAAACCTTGTTGGAACTGAACCGTTCGACACACGATCGACACGCCGCGCGCCGGTCGCTGGATGGACTGATTACCCTCCAAATTTTCAGGCGAATCCAAAATCTTCGTGGCCTCTCTACTGACGATGACGCGTTTTGGATCTGAACTTGAATTGTACCTTTTCGATACTTTCGATTCAACCTCACTGATCCCACTCCCATCAAAAAGTTTATTGTCTATATAATTAGCTTTGTTCTGAACACGTTAAATTTGGAAAGAAATTACAGTTCCATATTGAATGATCACTCAAAAGAGCCTTCATTCTCTGCAAATAATTATCTCTAAGCATTACGAACGACGAGCTTTCCTTATACGAGCGCATCACCACAGTTTCATGGGTGGATCCTGAAAAATGACCCATTTAAGCAAATCAAATCTTTTTCCAATTATTCTATTCGACCTAGTGCATGAGGTCCTAAATCATTCTTGCTATCTTCAGAAATATTCTGCGATGGAATACAAGGTTCCCAGCTTAGACCCTTGCACATAGGATCTGTCAAATTTCAAGAGGAGGTTCGATCTCAGAATAATTAGCCATAATTTTTCATAGTTGGCAGAACAAAAACTACCTAATTATCACACAATCAAGTTATTATTATTTAATTTTTTCCAGAGAAGTCTTGATAATATTAAATGATCTATCGTATTTGACTTCACATGTATTAGCACACGATTTTTAGAATTATGTAGCAAAAAGAAAAATTAAAAATTACTTAAGTGTCTACTAACTTCAAAGCTTCTCAAAAAAATTAATAGAAAAGTTTTCAGTGAAAACGTACCTATACCTTTAAAGTATGCATACATCTGAAATTTCACAAAATGTATATAACTTGAAAGTTTTCTTTACATTGCAACAAAAATTCAAAATTTCCCTCTTAAATATACTTACATTCAGACACAAAAAATCTCAACAACAGAGTATCGTCATTTGAAATTGCAACACAATTTCACACTGCACAACTATTATTAATTATTATTTTCATCATCTCTCGTGCTTTTACTTTTTCAAATCAAAACACCACGATTGACGATACTATCATATTGCCGCCTGCTTAAATTATTATTAATATAGGTACCTAAGTATAACCATAGATGTGGTACCCACCTTGCGTTATTTCCTGCGATTTGCTTCTGAATTATTTATAAAGCAACGTGACTCGATAATTAGCGATACTTTTTCTATAATAACTCAGATCGTCGATTATGGTTGGAAATAAAAACATGATTTTTATTTTGTTGTGTTATATTTTAAATTGTTAAAAGTATTTTGTCAAATAAAGTCAGAATAATTCTATTCAATACAGAGTCCCTAAATTGATCTTTTCTAACTGATGTTTTATAATAGCGACTTTTCGATTGTCATGTAAGTTTTTAAATGACAGATGTATTCCTGAAAAGTCATATATGTAGTTTCAGATACTAAAATCTGTTTTTTTTTTTAAAGATAAAAGTCAAAATGACAATATGTTGGCAATACAATGTAAAATTGTTAATGCTTTCAAATTTTTTATGTAGAAAAGGCTTGTGTTGCCAACATAGTTACTAAATTTTTGACTTGGGGAATTATCTTTAAAAAAAAAAAAAAGAGACTTTAGGTAATGCTTAAAAGTTCAAAATTTGAAAGCACAGTCTGAACCAATGAACTATAGCCAAAAACTGGAATGCGCACACATTACCATATCTGCCAAAAAAATAAAGCCATGAAAGACAGATGCCACAAGGGGAGTGTTGTTTTTTTCTGTTGCTCGCTGACATATGACGTTTTCGAAAGTTTTGTCATATTTACCTTCACAGATTTCATCAATTGAAATATGTGTTGGAAACAATTTCCGCCATCTAACATAATGAGTGCGACAAAAACAGGTATCCCCTCCGCAGCAGCGGCACTAGGCTTCACGTTCGTCAATATGTGTGCGCATTCCAGTTTTTGGTTATAGTTCATTGGTCTGAACAGATATTGATAATGCAATTAGGCACTCCAATTTATCAAATTTAAAAAAGCTCATTTGTTTTGCGTTTGAGTCAAAATTTGTTTTATCTACAAGCGTTTGGTTATGACGTTTATACCTAACCATTTTTCTATATTTGAGTTATGTCATAAGACTCATAACACAACTAGTGGTGTTATGGACTAGGTTATGAATCTATAACACAACTAGCTTCTGTGATTTGACAAATGTCATAGTTAAACCTGTAAAGGTAAAATGGAGGTAGACAACCACTAATAAACAAAAATTGAAAAAAAAAAACTTATTTTTCGCTTTGTAGATAAAACGTTGTAGATCATACGTGCTTTTGAACATGACTACAAAACTCGTATGATTAGAATGAGTCGGTCTACGACCTCGTCGTTCTAATCTTCCACACTGGTTATTGCAATCATGTTCATAAACGCACTTGTAATGTAAATAACTATTACGAATTAGGTACTTGTTCAGTACGTTATTCCTCTTCGTCAATTCCTTGAAAAATATTATATTATCCCTGAAAGGGATCGCAAAAAATGCTTACTGCCCTAATTATTTATTGAAGGAGTGGCAGTACTACTAACATTCGTAATGAATATTTTCAATGTTTAGAGACTTTACAGCAATTCTCATAACTCCATAGTAAATTGTACCTACGTCTGTTACACACTCAAAACTATAGCGGTTTAAAAATTCATGACCGGCTCATTCGTGAATTTGTCGTTTAGGAACGAGCTACAAGTCACTTTTGCTTTATAAATAACAAAGTTTAAACAAATATTTTACCCCAAGAATTTCAGAAATACTTTCATTTCAAACTTTGTTCAGAAATAAACAAGAAACTTTCCCAAAAAACTCTAGAATAATATTAGGTATTGAGGCGATTATCAACTAATTTAAACTCTCTTCCAATGGCAAAGCCCTCGGGCAAGTTCTTATATTTGATAATACGAAAATAAACTTTTTTTTCTGATAATTAATCTTTAAATATGCAAAAAAAGGAAACAAATCTCGAGTCTTACTGAAGGGGCCACCAATCAATTTAGACCTCGTTTCAAACCTTGTTAAAATACCTAGAACAATCACCAATAGAAAAACAATTCACGTAACTAACTAGCTATAAAAAATCTCAAAAATCTCTTACCTAACATAAAACTCTGACAATTTACCCACGTACTAAATAAGAAGTCCTGAAATGCCCCTACTACTAGATAGCAGTGTCCTGAA